AATCACCCAATCACCCCAAACCTCTCTGCCTTCCTGCATGCCTGATTGCCCCTAATCACTCCCGTGCTGGCCTGATTGCCCCTAACAGCCTCTGCCTGCCTGCCTGGTCACCGCTAACTGCTCTCCCCTGCCAGCCTGGTCACCGCCTCTGCCTCGGCACCCACCACTGTGGCTTTGTCCGAAAGGGTGTCTGGTCTAATTAGCATATTACCCTTTTACTAGCATAGATTATTTAAAAGTTATGATTAATCTAAGTCATTATAAAGTAATGTAAATTATAAAAATATAGATGATTTTTATTTTTACACTTGACCTTAGCCAAAAGGCTGAGAAGCAATAAATTTTTAGTTTTAATTAAAGGAATACATATAAGTGAAAAATTAAAATGGGCATATGAACTATCCTAAAAATAGCTAAAAAGAAAAAAATAGATGGCATTATTTTTTTTTTCATATACAAACATCTTATCTCCCTTCTATGTCCCAATCGAACTGGTCTCCCGAAGCCACTAGACTATAGTTCATGCAGTCGAGTTACTACCCTCACCTGCTGTTACACCAGGTCCTCCGCTCTGCAGTGCCTGCCGCCCACTCTCTGTGGGAGGTGAGCCGCATCAAGAATGACACCCTTCTGTATATAGAAGACGCGCATGGTGCCTTTGGATCTCCCACCTAAAGCCCTAGTTGTTTGCACTTCAGCAAAAATAAAACATTTTTGGCCCTGGCCGGTCTGGCTCAGTACGTACAGCGCCAAGCCTGCAGACTGAAGGGTCCCGGGTCGATTCCAGTCAAGGGCACATACTCCCGGTGGCAGGCTCCCGGCCTGTCGGGCGCAGTTGAGAGGCTACCAATTGATCATCGATGTTTCTCTCTCTGTGTCTCTCCCCTTCCCTTCCACTCTCTCTAAAAATCAATGGGAAAAATATCCTTGGGTGAGGATTAAAAAATAAAAATAAAACATTTTTGCCCTCCAACAGGTAACAAGTTTTGAAAAATTACCATCTCTTTTCCAAATAATTGTTCTATTTGGCAATATGGAATACACAGAGATGAACAATGCCTACGTGACAAACAGCCGGCCATTCTGAGCGCCTGATGCAGCCCCGCCATGTCCAGCTCTGTCCCGCCTGGGGCCAGCACCGGCCCTTTTCCAGCGTCCCCGGTGGGCACTCCACCCGCCCGCCAGCCACAGTCCCAGTTATCAGATCGACTGCTCAGGTATCGCGGTGCCTGGGTTCAAGTGACCCGTGTCTCATTAACCAGGTCTCATTCCCCTCCCGTCTCCCCTCACGTAGGCCGTGCACCACCTCACACCGTCGCAAGAAGGCTGAGTCCAGAACCGTGAGGCATTTTGAGAGAGCGATCACATTCCCATCACTTTCATTACGGCCTGTCATATTATTGTTATAACTGTTCTATCTTAGTATTGTTGTTGCTCTCCCACTGTGCCTAGTTTATCAATTAAACTTTACCATAGGCTTGTGCATACAGGAAAACACGTCGTATTGACAGGGTTCGGCGCTATCTGTGGTTTCAGGTATCTGCTGGGCTTGAATGTACCCCGCCCTGGATAAAGGGGGGCTGCTATACAACCAAGGTCCAAAACCAGGCCTCCTAAGTAATCCAGGTGTCGTAGGTCTGCCCTTCTCTGGCGGGTGATGACCGTGACCACAATAAAACCAGGCTTGACATTGGGAAATCCACGTAAAAATGCAGGATGAACTGACAGCCCCCTGATGGCGCCATCACCCCGAGCCCAGAACTCACCCTCCCACTACTTCCCAGAGGACAGTGATCTCCGAGAATTCCCCGCTTCCCCAACTTCGCCCGAGATGACAGAGTCCTGAGCAGCTGGCTGGCTGCCCCCCGCCATCCCCCTCGCTCTGCGTCCCCCTAGCCTCCCTCCACGGGGTGAGTCCCTGCTGCTTCCACTCCTGGGAGTGCGGCCGCCTGACCAGTGCTTTCAAGGAAATGCAGCTGGAGGCCTCGTCCCGCCCCGCCCTCCGCCCCAGTTTCCCAGGGAGCCCTGTGTCGGGGATCCCTGCACCTGACCCGCGGGGGTTGCTCCGCTTTAACTCTAACCTCCACCTTGTGCAACTGGCCTGTGTTCCACCCACTCCAGCTGGCGGCCTCGCCCATTTGCCGGGACTGAACCTGCCCCCTTTCTCCAGCCCACGGAGGTGCGACTGAGGTCAAGGCCACTTCTACTGAAACGCTCTTTCTTGGGCTCCAACACCGGAATCCGACCACCCCTGTGTGTTCCCAGGTTCCTGAAACGCAATCAGACTGAACTCACTGCCTCCACGCTCCCTCTTCCTCCTCTTTCTCCATTATGGGGTCACCCAGCCCCCCCC